TAAGCCAATCTGAATTGTAGTTTATCATCTACGTAGGTGGTTTTATAGAGAGTATTATCACTAACATGAGTACATCTCATGCCATGCTAAACCTGACGCTGAAATCGTACTTTTGCATTGAGTAGACATGATTAACCTTTCACATGTGGTCACTAAATTTACTCAATAGTGATGTACCTTATCTTGAAGATCTACTGAGGCTCCATGTTGTAATAACTTGTCCACCACCTCCACATGTCCATTCTGAGATGCAGCCATCAGTGAACTCCACCCATCCTGACGTGACACACAGAGTAGTAGGTAATGAATTTGGCAAAAAACGGTTTTGATTCAGTATCCATGATAAGCCAATCTGAATCGTAGTTTCAGTTGGTTTTCACGCCATAAGTCTGGAACGCAGTACTTTTACGAAATTCGCCAAATTTAAAATCAAGCCAGTGTAGCGCTGAACCTTTTGGTATCGCTCTTTTGTTGTCCCGTTGCGCGTGGTGGCAGAAAACGTGGTAACAGACGGACAAACCATAGATAATGATCCTAATCGTCACCAATATAGTACATATGTAAAGCTGTGGTGAGCGGAGCTATATACCATGGGCATTTTCGGGTAAAAAGAAAGACATTGGGGCTGGCTTCTCAAGCAATGAAGCCACATGTTTCTATGCTATTTTGAAAATGATGGATGCTACATGTATATGTAACTGATGAAACGGAATGCAATCTGCTGTGTTGCTGATCGCGCACCTGACCTAGACGACAGACTTTTTCAGAGAGCTCATAGTATGAAGTATGCATGTTCCCTTCACCTCACTGTTCTGAGATTACGTTTTGCACACGTGTTTGCTAGCATTGCGTATGTACATATAGTGTGTGTACCTCTTTTTGCAGGTCTACTGTGGCTCCATGTTGTAATAACTTGTCCACCACCTCCACATGTCCATTCTGAGATGCAACCATCAGTGAACTCCACCCATCCTGACGTGACACATGGAGAAGTAGGTAATGAATTTGGCAAAGAACGGTTTTGATTCAGTATCCATGATAAGCCAATCTGAATCGTAGTTTCAGTTGGTTTTCACGCCATAAGTCTGGAACACAGTACTTTACAAAATTCGCCAAATTTTAAATCATGCCAGTGTAGTGCTGGTATTGCTCTTTTGTTATCCCACTGCGCGTGTTGGCAGAAAACGTGGTAACAGACGGACAAAACATAGATAATAATCTTAATCGTCACCAATATAGTACATATGTAAAGCTGTGGTGAGCGGAGCTATATACCATGGGCATTTTCGGGTAAAAAGAAAGACATTGGGGCTGGCTTCTCAAGCAATGAAGCCACATGTTTCTATGCTATTTTGAAAATGATGGATGCTACATGTATATGTAACTGATAAAACGGAATGCAATCTGCTGTGTTGCTGATCGCGCACCTGACCTAGACGACAGACTTTTTCAGAGAGCTCATAGTATGAAGTATGCATGTTCCCTTCACCTCACTGTTCTGAGATTACGTTTTGCACACGCGTTTGCTTGCATTGCGTATGTACATATAGTGTGTGTACCTCTTTTTGCAGGTCTACTGTGGCTCCATGTTGTAATAACTTGTCCACCACCTCCACATGTCCATTCTGAGATGCAACCATCAGTGAACTCCACCCATCCTGACGTGACACATGGAGAAGTAGGTAATGAATTTGGCAAAGAACGGTTTTGATTCAGTATCCATGATAAGCCAATCTGAATCGTAGTTTCAGTTGGTTTTCACGCCATAAGTCTGGAACACAGTACTTTACAAAATTCGCCAAATTTTAAATCATGCCAGTGTAGTGCTGGTATTGCTCTTTTGTTATCCCACTGCGCGTGTTGGCAGAAAACGTGGTAACAGACGGACAAACCATAGATAATAATCTTAATCGTCACCAATATAGTACATATGTAAAGCTGTGGTGAGCGGAGCTATATACCCTGGGCATTTTCGGGTAAAAAGAAAGATATTGGGGCTTGTTTCTCAAGCAATGAAGCTACATGTTTATATACTATTTTGAAAATGATGGATGCTACATGTATATGTAACTGATAAAACGGAATGCAATCTGCTGTGTTGCTGATCGCGCACCTGACCTAGACGACAGACTTTTTCAGAGAGCTCATAGTATGAAGTATGCATGTTCCCTTCACCTCACTGTTCTGAGATTACGTTTTGCACACGTGTTTGCTTGCATTGCGTATGTACATATAGTGTGT